CAACCTGTGGACTTTTGGAAGACCGTATTGTTCTCAGACGAATCAAGATTCGCTCAATTTGCGGACAGTGGAGGGATATGGGTCTGGAGAATGCCTCACCAACAGTTTTGGCTCAACATATTGCAGCCAACTGTGAAGCATGGTGGTTTCAGCGTGATGATTTGGGGAGCTGTTTGGGTTGGTGGGAGATCGAGCTTAGTGGAGTGCGTTGGCAACATAAATTTTGCGAAATACGTCGAAGTATTGGAGGAAGGACTCTTGCCACTTTATTCCTCGGGTTTCGTGGACAAAACACAACGTTGTTCCAGGAAGATGGAGCACCGTGTCACACTGCTAGAAACACCCAAAAGTGGCAGGAAGAAAATGGTATCCAGAAGTTGTCCTGGCCGAGCCAATCTCCTGACATGAACCCCATCGAAAACCTCTGGGCCGTACTCGACCGGCAAGTCAAGAAACAACCAAAAAAACCAACTTTGAAGAGCGATCTACTCCAAGTTTTGAAGCAAGAGTGGGGCAAAAATCCCACAATCTAAAATTGACGAGATGATTCTCACGATGCCCCAAAGGATCAACGAACTTCACGAAGCGAAAAGAAGATCTACTAGATATTAATTAAATTATACATATATCAATTCATGTGAATATGACTGAAAAAATTCATTTTTTTCTGAAAAGGTGGTGTCTATTTACTTGTGCCCACGCTGTGTATATGTTATCAATATGTTGTCATTCGCTTTGATTTGTGGAATTTTATCTCTGTTAACTCAGATAGCAATTTTTTAAGGTTAAGAATATTTGTGTGCATGTGTTAATATTTCTATTATATAGATAAAGTCGTATAGTGAAAACAGCGACGCCTAGCGAGATACCCTTTGTGTAACTTAGGTGAATATCCCAAACAAATAGGATATATAAACTTGTAATTTATTTTTTAATCTACTCAAGTTACGAGTGAATATTTTACCAATTTTTTTGCAATTATATTTTACTCCCTTTAGAAAAATGTATTTTTTAGAGTGATTTATTTTGAATTTGTTTATATCGCAATTATAAGTTTTAAGTTGCTATGAATTAATTTGCATGAAAAATAAGTTGACATCAATATAATACAATTCGACCGGTAACAGTGGTGATACTTTATTAACAAACCAAAAAAGGAATTAAAATATGTACACACACACAGGTATATATATAATGATTAATCAATGTGTGACTTTTTGGTTTTATACACCCTTAAAAAGATGACATATCTGTGCAATAGTTTCTTTCAAATTATTTTTTTTTTTTTGAGAAACAGTATATGAAATATTATTATTGGTAAACAAAATGTCTAGACCATTCATGTATTAGCTTAAAAATAACGGTTGGGGGATTCTAAAACGTTTTAGAAGGCGTATTATATACTTTTATAACAATTATATGAACAATCCGTAGAAATTAAAATTCATATATCACCTAAGTCGTTGGATTTAGTGTTTGATAGTTCGAGAAGAGTAAAGGTATTTTTCTTTTCTTGCAAACCGAGACATTGAATTGAATGAATATGGCTTTTTCACGCACTTTAGACAGAGACTGATGGAGCACCTGATATTTCCATAAGTAAGTAGTAGAATATCAGATTAACAGTTTGGCTTAGGACTTCACCAGAGTGATCTATTACCTACCATCAATATTTTGCCATGGATATTATACAGACGGTTGAATACGTATATTATATTATACCGATTTTAAATATGCATATCAACAAGTCGCATGCCAATCATAACCGATATAAAGTCAAGGTGGAAGAAATGTACGAGGACTACTTAAAGGACATTGTTTGTCATTACATATAGTGTCATAATATTCAAGATTGGTCATTTTTGGGAAGAGTGCGTAACAGTCTTCTCCAACACAAACTATTCATACTGTTACGACAGCGGAAGTCGCGGAACGCTGGAGTTCTAGAAAGATCGAGGAACCTTTCGAACGTCATAGGGTTTGCTAGATACGCCCTCTATTTTGTATATATAAGACCGGCGAGAAGTGACGGCATAGATAGATAATTGCAGACAGACAGAGACGGACAATTGAGTCAAGCGCGGTAGTAAGGTGCATGAATCGTTGTGAATTATAGCGTGTGTTTAAGTTAAAGTGACTGTGGAAATTAAGTGTATTACAAAGTTGTATTGAGAGAGAATAAACTAATTTTATTTAAGAAAGGACTTGTGTCGCTGAAGTTTCATCGGAAATAAATTATACGGAAAATTAACAAACGAACAGAGACGTAACAATACATTCAGATCATTACGATTTGTTCAAATCGAGGATATAAAATTTACAAGATGAGAATATCCCTTTTACTTAATGGCTCTGGAAAACAAAGAAATGTGGATTAACTTGGTGCCCCAGACTGGTCCAGAAAGAGATCTGCAACACATCATACCCGATAGGCGAAAATCCACTAACATAAATGTTAGTGGCAAAAGCCGTCTACGTGCCCCAGGCAACATAATTAACATGGCTTTCTACGAGGGAAAGCGACTCAAGTTGCTTCCACGACATATAACTTTAACCATTTTATATCTCAAGCAGCTGGAGAATGAAATGGGTATTCATGCTGTTTCACAGAAAACAAACTGGCAACAATAGCAGATGCTAGTGCCTATGGATTTCTGTGCGACTGGACCGTTGAAATGGCTCTTGGGAAACTTTCATCCTCGGACATTATATAGAATATGGAAATAGGCAGAGAGAGGGGTATGTTTTGAACGTGACACTCTTACAGTGAAGCCTTTTGCAATGGAAACTACGCTGCAGGACTGTTGTCAAGATGCACAGTCTACATCTTATGAGGTAACATGATGAGGCACCAAAATTGTTTTTATATAACGTATTCAACCGCTATAAAAGACCTTGTCTACATGAAGGACTGTGTAACTCTTAAGTCAAAACCTAGCCTGATAAATTTATATTTTATTGGACATTGCTCCAAATGAAATGATTATATACACTGTGGAGAGCTTTGTCCTCTTTGAAGAGAAACGCGAAAAATGGGAAGACGAACTGGTCTTATTTCACCACAGGTAAGACTAACTTGGCTGATAATCAGCTCCTAAAATAGTCGTGTTTTATCGTTACAACATCAAGACGATATACTGAGTTATTCTGGTACTGCTACACCTTTGCTTTAGTACCTATTGTTTGTTAGTTACCGAAGATTTAATTTTAACTGAAGGAATGTAGAGTATTAACATACAGCAACATATTTTTAACCTGAAAGTTCTATATTTGACTTACAAAATCTTTTTATTTAAACTTTTAATTTCTCACACAAGCTACCTCCAGGAGTTTGTCACTAAACTATATTGTATTTTTTTTAAATAAAGTAGATAATGTATGTAACTGTAATTACAAATTGTAGATTTTTTTTTTTTTGAGTAAACAGGAATAGTGAATTATGTTGAACAAGCCGACTACACAAGTGCAATAGAATACAACTTTTTTTTTTAATTTCAGTTTAATATAAGATATGATTCCAAGAGAGATTAACACTGTATCTGTCAAGTCTTCGTTGGGTCCAGAAAGGATTTTATAACGGTTGAAACCCTCAAAGACACTTCAATGTGAGCAGCCAAATGAACGAATGGAAGAAATCCAAATGAAAGATACACCAGCTTTGAACGAGGGTCACTAATAAAAAT